GTGTCCCTTGCTTCTGAATGTGCTATGTATTTATAGAGTGAGGGATATAGTGAACAAGTATGGCAAGAAAACAATACATTCATGGCCATGAAATAAGAATCAAACACAAACACATTAAGAAGTTGCCATTTTTGAATGTGCAATGAACTTGGACCATTTGTGTTGGTCTTGCACGAATTAATGGGCCCTTGAATGATCCAAACGAAGTCCACTTAAGAATTGATCCATTTACTTGATATTTCACTTGATTTCTTTTGTATTTAAATGAATAAAAATTCAAATAAATAGAAATAAAAATCAAAATAATGCATGGATAGCTTTAAAGGCTCTTGGATATGTCATGAGTATGTTTGGACTCTAAAAAGTTAGGCCCAATAACCTAAAATCATAAATTTTCTCAATTGAGATTTCATGTATTTCTTGAAAATTGCCCAACTTGTGCACCTCATAACTTTCTCAATTTTCATCCTTTGAATATGATCTTAGGATTTTTGGAAAGCCCAAGATGTCCTCTAAAACCTCTATGTTGATCATGTTTTCTTTTGGAGACTTTATCTTGATGCAAGTTGCCTTGGAAAAAAGTGTTTTTTGTTGACTTTTGAAAATGACCTATAATGTATGAGCTCATATCTTCCAAATGAAGCATTTTTTGGACTTGAGAATGAAATCAAAGTCATAGAGAATTGAATTTTTTTTAAAATGGGCTTTGGTTGGGGAAAATTTGATGAAGCATGTGAAAGTTATGCCTGGTCAAAGTTCAGTTGACTTCTCCTAAGGAAACCCTAATTTGGAAATTCTTGACTTTTGATGATCTGAGAGATTTCCTTGGGGAATCATGATCAACCATTGATCAAATGATGAATATCACTTCAAAATGTTGATGTTGACCAAAAATATTGAAGTTTGACTGTATGTTGACAATAGTTGACTTTTTTGACCAATACAATTGATTTTCAAAGATTTGAGCCATTGGCTGAGCAAATTTATGACATAGGGATTGAAACTTGACATGAACCTTGTTGAGGACCTATGAAGAACTATGGAAGCCAACTAAGACCTTTGCAAATCAAATTTCCTTGAGAAACTCCAAACCCTAATTGTAGACCTTTGAGCTTATGAGGTGAGTTGATTGGTCAACCCTTGAGTGTTTGGGAAGCCTTGAAAGAGTGTCTTGAGAAGAAAAAGGGAGGGAAAATTTTGGGGTACAATATTAACCATCTTTTTTGTAGTTAATTACTAGGTCATTAAATGATATCCCCAACTCTTTAGCCAAATATAGGACTTTGATTGTTTTCCTAATTCCTATGTAGGCTTCATCTTTGATTTTAGATAATACCAAAATCCTATCAAATTCCTCCAAAGCAGGTGTCAATTGAAATTTTTTAAAAGTAAAACATCTTAGTGGAGGGTCATAAAATTGAGAAAGGCCAGTGATAACTTCCACCTGTACATTCATCTTTATAAGATCAATGATATCACCATAGCGACAAACAAAACCTTTCATAGCTTTGTCAAGTTATTTCCCTCTAATCAGCTTCAGTTTCTTCAGATCAAGTATCATGGCGCTAATGCGGATGGTTGACTTCTTATTAGTATTCATTTTAAGGATGCTCACCAAAAACCTTTCTTTTTAAAAAAAAAAATTATTTTTCCCCAAAGAAATCCTGTGAATAAGACACAAAAAATGCAAAAGTAAATTTGTTTAAATGCAAATGTATGCATGTATGGTGATGCAATATAAGAGTGGAATGATAAAAGTTTCCTTAGTAAGCAGGTTCATAAGTTTGTTCTACGAATATTCTACCCTTCCTCATAGGATGGTTTCCTTAAGGTATCATGGATAACACAAAAGGGAAAAGGCATGAGGGCCCCCCTTAAGCGAGTCTCTCTGTAGACTAAGACTTTTGTCTTGTAGGTCGTACAAGGTCTCACCATGAGATTTTATTTTTGGGATAGGTCCCTAGAGTCATTGGTCAAATCCAAAGTCCTATCTCCAAGAGAGGCTAGCCCTCTAAAGATATTTCTCGAAATTCGACCCACTCTAAGCAAAGTTGTCACAAAAACTCATAGGGATGTTAAACTCTCTTGGCCAATAGACAATCCCTTATCTAAGGTTTTATCATGTGAATAAGATCCTATCAATAGCTATAATAACAATAGAGTTAATACCTATTTTCACCCCTGACATATTGGGTGTATTTGAAAAACCCCCCTGCCAAAAAAGTTAAAAAATCGAACCATTGACATACTGTTTGCAGTGAACGCTTCTTACCACTAGACCAATACATTTTCTTTGTTACATATATGCATCAATAAATATTCATATCATTAACATATTAATTACAATTATCAATAAATTTTCTTAACTAGTTGGTTTAAATAATTTTTAAAAAAATGTTTTACATATTTTATCTTTTTACTGTAACTTTTTTTAAATTTTAAATTTTCAAAAATCACTTAAATTTAAAAAAATCACTTAAATTTAAAAAAATAAATTAAATTTAAAAAAATCACTTAAATTTTCAAAAATCACTTAAATTTAAAAAAATCACTTAAATTTTCAAAAATCACTTAAATTTAAATCACTTAAATTTAAAATCACTTAAATTTTCAAAAATCACTTAAATTTTAAAAAATCACTTAAATTTTAAAAAATAAGTTAAATTTAAAAAAATCACTTAAATTTTCAAAAATCAATTAAATTTACAAAAATCACTTAAATTTTCAAAAATCACTTAAATTTAAATCACTTAAATTTAAAATCACTTAAAATTTCAAAAATCACTTAAATTTTCAAAAATCACTTAAATTTTCAAAACTAAGTGATTTTTGAAAATTTAAGTGATTTAAATTTAAGTGATTTTTTAAAATTTAAGTGATTTTTTAAAATTTAAGTGATTTTTTAAAATTTAAGTGATTTTTGAAATTTAACTTATTTTTTTAAATTTAAGTGATTTTTTTAAATTTAAGTGATTTTTGAAAATTTAAGTGATTTTTTTAAATTTAAGTGATTTTTTTAAATTTAAGTGATTTTTGAAAATTTAAGTGATTTTTTTTAAATTTAAGTGATTTTTGAAAATTTAAGTGATTTTTGAAAATTTAAGTGATTTTTGAAAATTTAAGTGATTTTTGAAAATTTAAGTGATTTTTTTAAATTTAAGTGATTTTTGAAAATTTAAGTGATTTTTTTAAATTTAACTTAATTTTTTAAATTTAAGTGATTTTTGAAAATTTAAGTGATTTTTTTAAATTTAAGTGATTTTTGAAAATTTAAAATTTTAAAAAAGTTACAGTAAAAAGATAAAATATGTAAAACATTTTTTTTAAAATTATTTAAACCAACTAGTTAAGAAAATTTATTGATAATTGTAATTAATATGTTAATGATATGAATATTTATTGATGCATATATGTAACAAAGAAAATGCATTGGTTTAGTGGTAAGAAGTGTTCATTGCAAACAGTATGTCTATGATTTGATTCCTGCTGAAGAACAAAATTTTTTTAACTTTGAATTAACACTCAATTAATAAAATATTAATATAAATGTCATATGGAATTAAAAATTAAAAAATTAAAAATTAAAAATTAATTAAAAATGACAACTAATCAATAATAATAAAAATATAACAAAAATATATTCCTGAAGGACAAAAAAATTTTAACTTTGAATTAACACTCAATTAATAAAATATTAATATAAATGCCATATGGAATTAAAAATTAAAAATTAATTAAAAATGACAACTAATCAAGCCATGTCATTAAAATAATAATAAAAATATAACAAAAATATAATAACAGGGGTGAAAATAGGGATTAACCCATAACAATATGATAACAGATAAATAACAATAAATGAGGAATAAATAAATAAAACACAAACAAATAAGGAAAAAACAATATAAAATAAATAAATAAAAACCCCAAAAGCCCTAAAACTAAAGGTAGGGTAAACTTTATCTTAAGTATTATGTCCCCAACTGTCGTAACCGACAAAAAAATACGTGAGTCTCCACCACTACTTTTTTGTCCTAAGGACGAGAAAGAAACGAAAAACCCTAATTGCTTTAAAGATTACTGGATTCGCGAGTTGGTTAGATAAAGGGAAGATATTATGCACCCTTTATCTCCCATGTACTCAAGGGAACCCTCTTTAACTTTAGGACTTTAGCAGGAATATTTTCTATTTAATCATATTATCAGGCATACAAAAACAAAGGAAAATTAAGTTTTTTAGTTAGTGGACTCGCCTTGGTTTTTGAACCGTGTGCCTACATATCCTCTTGTAAAGAAATCAAAGTCCTTCGTAATTCGAAGTGTTTGGTTAGTGTTTTTTATAGAATCGTGTTAAGTTGCTTTCAAATGGTTGCAGACTTGCCTGGGTTTGAAAATTGTGTGATGATAGGCAAAGTTTTTTATCCAAGTAGAAAGAAACCGAAAGATTCTTTATTGAAAATAGTCTTGAAGTTTGATTAGGTTAATAAAAAAAGATTGAATTGGTTAGTTATTTTGCATTTGATTTGTGTTTTGAAATTGAAAAGGTTTGATAATTAGAAAAATGCATGGCTATGTGTTAAATAAAGTAATTTTAAGTTAGTAAAGAAATAATTAGTGACTAAGTTAATAATTAGGGTTAAAAAATATTTTAAAGTTTATAACAAAAAACTTTAAAACTAAATCAACAATTAAAATTTAGTACTTTTATTAATAAATTATTTAATTTTATCATTTACATTTATATAAAAATGGTTTATTATAAAACATAAATAATTTGATGAATCTCCTAATAAGAATAAAGTTAAAAAAAAACAAAATATATTATAAAAATTAGTAAAAAAATGATTAAGACACAAGGGGGTATATTTGTTTTAACGTAATAAATTAGGGGAGTGTTATTAGCAATTGTGCTTGACCTATAAAGGATTTGAGTTTGTTTGTACATCTTGTTGGTAGTTTTACTATTGCTACGGTGGGTTAACGTATCAAGGACGTTTGATTCAAATCATAAGGTCACCAGAAATTAATTTAGGGACGTTGATCAGAAGTATGTCAAATAGAGAGTTAAGATCACGTGTTGACTGGAGCGTACCGTATGCTAGTGCGTAGAAGGACCAGTCAACAGACATCCCATCGTGTGGACAGTGAATGGCCACACGTCGCTGATCCGGAGCATGGCAAAGGGAGTATTTTAAAAAAATTGCTTCACATTCTTTCATTTTTCGTATTTTCTTCTCTCTCTGACCAAAAATCTCCCTCCCTCTTTCCAAACGCTCCTTCCTCTCTCTAGAATGCTCTCCCTTCTCTCTAAAACTAATAGGAAACCCCTGCGTTCACACGGGTTATGGTGTGGACTGCAAAATTGTCACCCGTTTAGTTTTGAAATTCAAATAAAATAGAATTTTTTTTATTTTAATTGTAAAAAGAAAAAATAAAAAAATAGTCAAAGATAAATATATAAGTTAATCAAATACAACTTTTAAGCTACTCAACATAAACTGCATTGAAGTATCTATAAGAATTTGAGAAACATAAATTAAAGGAAATATATATTAAAAAGAATAATCTCCATTATTTCAAGTTATGCAGGTTTGGTAGTGTTATTGAACCATTTCACTATCATTTTTAATGCATAAAGCTCAACTTAGACATAATAGATCGGTAAATGGAAAAGCTCAACTGTCACTGGTCACATAAAATATGCATTAACATAATAATGATTAGCATAATCAACATCCTTAAGTCACCCCAAAAATGTCACTCATAATCATTCAATAATCATTTTATTCAAATTTTACTACGGTATAACACCATATAACTGCTATATATCACGCTGGTTAATAAAGGTGTTATAAACATGTAGGAAACTTACCACTGTCTCGACCCATCAGCTTGGTAACATCGATACCATTTTCCACACTTTCAGGTTCAACATGTGCTGTTGTTATAGAATATAAGTACAATGTAGAAATCTTCAACATCGACATGATCAATAGTTATAGGTTCACTTGGTAGTGCCACTCATCTCTGTAGCAAAAAAAGCGAAATTCAGAAAGATGCAAAGCAAACTAATGGAGGGTTTGGACCATAAGTATAGTTCTGATGGCAAAATTAGTAGTCAAGAATGTAAAAATGCTAATAACACTTTGCTGAAATAGAAAAACTAAGAAAGTGATTGGTTTGGAACTTTCATCGAACACTTTGCAGGAAACCTGTTTAAACCCGGAGAATCAACAATACTAAAACAAACCATTCCGAAAGATGAACAAAAATTCCATTATACACATACACCATTAAACATCGTTAAACAACAAACATACGGACCGAATCTCTACCACAAATAGTAGTCTCAAAGTGATAGAAGACTGAATCTCTACCGTCTTGGGTTTCCTATTATATCAAACAAAATCAACATTAGAAGCATGAGTTTCTCAAAATGGAAAACTAAAAAACTCAACTATAAAGTAAATATTTGAAGGAAAAAACACTTACAGGGTTTATAACATCTATGAAATTCAATGATTTTGATTCAACAAAGTTTTACCCAAAGATATTTGAAACCCTCTAATTCAATATATCTTTTATCTCACTGTACAACAAAAAACCGAAAAAACATTGAAGTTCACAATCATATTAATAGAGCAAATAGGAAAAAATAAGGTTGAAACCTAACTTGTTTTAAAATAATCACCGACGACCACCGTGGTCAATAAATCCATCACCGAAAATCATAATTACCGCGTGAGCCAACACCCCCGAACCTGAAACAACAAACACTAAATCAAAATCAAAATTATACATGTCTGATACTCAATAATAACAATGAAGAATGAGAGGGAGAAGGTAGAAGAAGATGGAGAAGGAAGAAGGAGAGGGAGAAGGAAGAAGGAAGCATAAGGCGTGTAGAAGGAGAAGAAATAAGAAGGTTTATTTTTAGGGATTTGAGAGGAAAGATGAGATTGCATAGAAAAAGAGATCATCAAAAGGGAGAGAGAGAGAGAGAGAGAGAGAGAGAGAGATGAGGATTAATGTGAAAGAGAGATTTAACAAAAGTGATGGGATTATTTAATAATATAGTTGGTTAATTCATTGTACAAAGACCAAATAACCAACAATTTTAATAGGGGTAAGATAACTAAGGATGGGTAGTATAGTCTTTTTCAAAGGTTTAGAGGTTCTTATATGGTAGATAACCACCACCCACCACCCACCACCGGTCAGAAATCGCCTTCGCCGGTGTTCGCCTCTAGCCACCCCAGACACCACCACAGACCCCAGATTCCGGTTGAACTTCAACCGGAAAATTCATCCAAAAACCCAAAAATTCAAGACCCCTAAGAACCCTAGTGAAAACCCTTTAAACCCTAACCCTCGACCACCGTGAGCGGCCGTGAAGGCTGCCGTCTCAAATGGAAGTTCGTCAAGAACTTAATCTTCTTTCTAGAAACCACCCAAGAACCATAACAAGATATAAACCCTAACCCTTATTCTAAAGAACCTTAACCCTAATATGAAGAACCCTAACCCTATATTATTAGAACCCTAACCCTAACATTTCCTGAATTTTACAATCGAACAATCCAAATCAACAAACGCATAAATTATTTAAAAAGCTAAGTGCCACCTACCTCGCCTGCAGTGATACTTCTTGTACAAAATCTCCTTTGAGTTCCTCTTTCTACTTCTAATCTTCTTTCTTCTCTGTCTATGGAGGTACAATGATGGTGGTGGAAACGCAAAGAACAAAGGCTCTCCAACTCCTTTTCTCCAATTTCTTCTTCAACTTTTGGTCCCTTTTCTGTTTCCGGTTTTAGGCTTTTATAGCATTAGGTTTATATTAGATTAGTAAATAGTTTAATGTTGATTTGTTGTTACAAGTTAGATTAATCTATAATTGATTTGATTGAATCTGTAATTGTAAATTATGATAGATTTAGTTATAAATTAGAATTAGAGTTTTTGATTATTATAATGAATCTAGAAGAATTTGTATGTAAAAGGTTCATATTCAATCAATAAAACTGTTCCTTAAATTAATTGATTTCATTTGATTTGATTCAAAAACAAGAGTTTTAAACTTTTGTTGTTTGTCTTAGGGATGAAGAAACTGGATGCAACTGGGCACAAGGTTCGTTAAGCCCTAGTTGACCTTAGTAAACTCTTTTTCAAATTTTAAAATCAATAATAAAAATAAAATAATAGAATAATCAAATAAATAATATAATGAATAAATTAAATAAATAATAAAGATGAATAATAATGGAGGTGTTAACCTCCGCTCAACCCATTAACGCATAATAACAATAATAAGAAATAAAAATACATAATAAAAGAGTACTTAATACTTAAAGCTTAGTTAAATATTTATTTATAAATCCTATTAACACCAATTTTAGCGGGGGGCTTTTAGCAAAAATTAATTGACCCTTTAATATAAAAATTTAGATGATAAGCCCATTATACTATACAAAATTTAGAAAATGTTTATAATTTTGTAAAATAAATTGTAAATGATAAAAAATTATAAGAAGACATTTAACTTATATTTTGAAATAATTAGATAAAACATGCTTCTTTTATTTAAATAAAGTGAATTAAAACATTTATAAAACTAAATGTTAGCGAGACTAAAAAAATAGAAATAAGATACAAGTATACATTTTTAAAGTTAGTTTAAATATTGGAAGTAATTTACAAAATTAGGATAAATAATCCAAAGAAAAACTAAGTAAAATAATATTTGACTGTAGCGGTGAACAAATTTAGGGTATGACAGTTGACCCTGTTTAATTACTCTTCGATTGAATGCGTGCGAGAATACAAAGTTCTTGCACATTCAGATCAGAGGTTTATTAAATAATAGAGGACCACAAATTTTGACCAAAGACTCCCTTTTTTATTTAAAAAAAAAATAGTTTTGAACATTAAAATAAGTAAAATAAAAGGGTAAGGTTGATGCGGATAACTCATGAATATCCAGACCGTGGATTAACATATCTATTTTTGCCAAGGGACTAAATCAATAGATATGAAAAATGATGCTATCACATATTTTGCATTCCTACCATAATCTAGGGGGTAGGTAATGCGAGTATCAACTCCATTTATACCAAGATACTAAACCAATAAAGTCGAAAAAAAGATCTAAAAACAACTTGCTAACGCTTCGGAACTAACATAGTAAGTTGTGTCACAAACTTGCATATTTATCACAACCCAGGAGATAAATGATGTGATATCAATCTTATTTATGCCATGAGACTAAACCAATAAGATCGGAAATTTTGGACAAATAACTTATCATTGCTCAGGGCCTCATATGCATAGCTATATCCGACTTGCACATCTACCACAATCTAGGGGATAAATAATGCAAGTATCAACTCCATTTATGCCAAGAGACTAAATCAATAGAGTTGAAAAGGTTTGAAAACAAATTGCTAACGCTTCGAAACTAACATAGTAAGTTGTATCGTAGATTGTTGCATATTTATCACAATCTAGGGGATAAATAATGGGGGTTTGGAATTTTATATTTGAATTTGAAATTTGATAGTTTGAAAACTCGATGGCCTCTTCCAAGATTGAGAGAATCATATGGTGTCAAAGGAGTGTCGAATGATGCGGGCATCTAGCAGTTGGCATTGTGTAGAGGGATACTTGACATGGTTCTACACAGTATCACACCCTATTATGACACCAGATGCTCCTGGACATCCACCTAGACCAACTCACAAGGAGATCTTAGAGAACCAGCAGGCCTAGGATGACATGTGTTACGGCTGGAAAATCAATGAAGTCACCACTATTATTTATTTTGTCCTAAAGACGGGGAAATTAATGGGAAACCCTAAAGTTGAAGGTAAGGCAGATTCGGGAGTCGGTTAAACAGGGGAAAGAGATTAGGCATCCCTCGCTTCTCTTGTACTCAAGGGGAACCTTCTCTAAGAATTACGGTTTATGTGTTGCTTCTAATGGTTTCTTTCCCTTATTTCCTATATTATTATTATACACAATGGGAAGGAATTGGTTAAGGTTAGTAGTTAGTGGACTCGCTAAAATATTACGTCTTATACCTATGTATTCATCAAGAGATGAAATCAGAGTCTAATTAACTTGCATGGGTTTGGTTAGTGTTTTTTTATGGAACATGGTGAAGTCACCTTCGAACGATAAAATTATGCCTGGAACACGCGCACAAAGAGCCTTAGGCTAGTTTCTAGTTCGTGTTTAAGGGACTCATTCAATTTCTTTTTTAAGAATATCTTGATTTTTGGTTAAGTTAGTAGAAAAAATTGAATTGATTAGCTAGTTTAACCAAAGATGAAGGAAAACATATTTTTTGAGTTTTTTTTTATACTATTTAGACTAAAACTAAGATAAGATTCAAAGGGTGTTAATAAGAATATATGGGGTGTCGACTAGCAAAAGTGTAGAAACACAAAAGATTTTTAATGGACTTAAACTAATAGAAATTAATATGAATAAAACAAAATTTAATTATATAAAGAAAAGAGGAAAAAAAAAAGTAAATAATAAATAAAAGAACACACGTGCAGGATTCACCATCAGTATAAACAAGAAGTATTAAACAATTTTTTTTTTCCAATTTTGTAACTGTAAATTATCTGAAATCTGAATGATTTGGACTGAAGGTGTTGCAAATTTGATTTGATCTAGTCTCTTTCTTGGATTTGTTTGGTTTTTGTTATCACTGAAGATTTGGATTGAAAGAAGAGATTCTATCATAAATGAAATTGTTTGAGATTTATACTTGGAATAATTCACACGCTTCTGTACTATAGACCGGAAAAAAAACTTCTCTTCTCCCCTTTTTTTATTTATTTTTAATTTGGTTATAATATCTTTTATTTCTATTATCAATACTGAACAAACAAAAAATATAAAGTAATAACAACACAATGAGAAGTTATTCTAATAAATTTAAAAATGACAATAATATTAAAAAAATCTGATAAAAAATAAAATCTAAACAAATCTAAAATGATCAAGATACAGTTCTACAAAAATGACACAAATTTAAAATTTTTAAATAAAATAAAATAAAATAACTTTTTGAGTGACAAAAATTTGAAATACCCTAACACTATTAAAATAAGATTTTAAGTGACAAAACAAAAGTTATTCTAATAACCAAAAATTAATTAAAATTCTAACAAGGGGTAAGAATTTCAAATTAATCTAGAGTTATAGAATATCAGTATAAAATCCTAAAAAATCACCGGAATCTAAATTATCCTAAAAAATAAAGATTTATGAATACTAAAAAGCGGTAAAGTTTAAATAAAATTGAAACATAAAAGTGACAAAAATTTAAATGATACTATAATAATTAGAAAGTTAAAATAAAATTCTATAAGTGAAAAAAAGGTAAAAACGGGAAAAGTATTTCAAAAATTAAGGGACATAGGATTCAAACTCAAGTTCCTCCTCTACTCCACTCCTTGATCACTCCATATCAACTAGGCTAATGTATTTAATTGAGATAATATGGCGCTACAAAATACATGAAGAGTAGGGTAAATTTGAAGTGTGACACCATGCCATTGATATTTTGCCGATCTGTCAACGAATACATTTGATTGAACATGAGGCTTTGGACTTAGGGATCATTGAGAGGGATGGTCCTTAGACGGTGGCCATCATAGAGAGAATGGTTAGGGAGGCATCGACTGCAGCGGGTTATAGGAGGCAGAGGATGGGTCAGGGGATTAGGATTAGGCATTCGCAATAGACTATGCCTTTTTTTATTTACCGATGTAATCATTTTATATTGCATACTTTATAAACAATTTATGTATTAATTTCCGGTATTTCTGAACAGTTTATGTTCGTATCATTTTCGGTTTTCGTATTTTGGTATTTCATTGTTATTTAAACGAATTACGAAAAATGTGAATTCAGAGATGTATATTCGAACCAATTTGATGCTTGTTTTATGAAGGGTGTGTTCGGATATGTATCTCTGAATTTATCCAAGGGCATTTTAGAATTTCAAGGGTGCGCCCAATATAGAAAGGGTGGGATGAGAAATTGCCTATTCTCGGAGTTACTTTTCCACCTTTAGGGTTCTCCCCTACAACGATGAAAAGTTAAAATTGCACTTAATGTCTCGAGATGTATCTCCGGATGGAATTTTTTAATACACACCCTTCAACGAAAATGGATGAACCACCTTTATTTTGTCAAAATTTAATACGGAGAATCATCTTCATATACCATAAGCGTGAGTCAGGAGATACATCTCAGCAAACACCATTAACTAAAAATTCAGTGGGTGTTACACAGGTGCATCTTTGAACGTGTTTTATACATTAACCCGCCTAAAACTCTTCCCTCTTCCTCCTTCATTTTCTGAGTACTCACTCAGATAACTCCATTTGAGCTATTTTGCTGTAAACCAATTCCAAACCCTATTTGATAAATTTTCATCAAGTTCACTAACTTCATTCGACTTCATTTGCTGCAAAGTTACTCTCTCCATTCAAGGTTCTCAATACCAACTCTATTTTGGTAAGTTTATCATTTCATTTTTTTATGGTTTAAATAATGTTTTAGGTAACATAGGTTGTTCAAGTGGCATTAGATAGTAGTACAATCGAAATAGGTAGTTGATATAGAAATTCATTTCCTTTTGATTGGAGGTTAGGGCAACAATGAGATTTCTGCCATTTATGAAAATTGTGATTTCATCCGGAGATGTATCTCCCGATTTGTAATGGACTCACTACTACAAAAAAACACATTTAATATCGGACGTGAAATGAATTTAACTTCGGCTACAGAAGCGAGGTACAAAGGGCGTCATGAAAAGCTGTCACTTTACCCCTCAGTTAATTAAAAACCGAGGGGTTAAGTTACCTGCACATGGATTCAAACCCCAACATCTTCATTTTTATTATTTTCAAAACTGAATGGTGCGCTCAATATTAACTCTCGGTATTGTGTAAAATCAAGGTAATAATTCAATGTTTTTAACTCGGTTTTAAGTGAAAATTAAGGGGATACGATTTTTAAGTACTTTCGTATGCACATGTATTACAAAACCATATCATAGATTTTAGAACCATATATTTTGTAGATTTCTGAAATAGAAACATTATACATTTTGTCAATTTCTCAAGCAAAAATATTGTTCCACAAATATTCATTATTTACACCAAATGCAAAGCTAAAATGGCACACACTTTATAATTTTACAACAAAACTAAAACAAATGATTAACCAACAAAAGAAATAACCAAAATGGAAAGTTTTATAGACTGCCCAAAAGTTATATTCTATGTTTTGTCACTGGTCGTTAAACACCTATAATTTGAAAAAAAATTAAAACTAATTAGGATAATCAACAACAAATTTAAATATTTAGTAAAAGGAATAAAAAAGAGTAAAATGAATAATTATAAATTACTAAGTGATATAAAATATTTACTTACTAATTTTCCCATATCCCTTCCTCATGATCACAACGAATAACATGCACATCATCTGAATCATTTTCTTCAGATGAATGATGTACATGTGTTGCAAAACAAGGGGTCTCATAGATAAAATCTTGATTTTCATTAGTACTATCAAGAAGATATTTTCTGTGAAGAACAATTGACTATCTAGTTTTAGCAGGATCAGTGATATGAAAAACTTGTTTTTCTTGGATTACCATGATGAATGGTTCGTTCTTATATGTTGCCTTTCAAAAATCAACCCGTGTGAATCCTAAAGAACTTGAAAAGCAACATAATCAATCTCCAAAATCTCTTTAATGACCCCAAAGTACGCTTTAGATACTAGTACAAGATTGTTATCTTTGGAACTAGAGAAGTACATGGATTCACTTTCAACCATAACCCCTCTATTTTGCATGGTGCTATGATCATCCTTTGATTTTGTATAGAATAAAAAATTTATAATGTTTTATGCACTCTAAGTAATGACATTAACTTAGGCATACATGATAACCATTTAATTGTCTTTAATGCACTACTCTCTTTAGAAGCACTTTCATTAAACAACATTATGAAAATTTTGTTATGCTCTGTCAACAACCATCTTTCATTCATCCGGAGGAAGTTTTCCTTTATAATATTTTTGTGAGCGGTCAAGTAAGGTTGAACTTCACTAAGGTTATTCAATATATACAAATTTTCTTGAAGAACTACTTCTCTGTCGAATGTATTAACATTTAAATATTGAATACCTCTACAATCATAACATCCATCATGACGAGACTCAGGAATTCCTATAGAGTTCACTTTTGACAAATAGTTTGTACAAAACTCAAAATCTTCTTATGTGATGTACCATTCAACGATCAAAGCTTCCAGACATTGATGATTCTTTGTATACTGTTTAAAAATCTTCATATATCACTCTACCGGATACATCCACCGTAAATAAACTAGACCATAAATTCTAATCTCCCTTACTAGATGAACAACTAAGTGAACCGAAATGCCAAAGAATGATGGAAAAGACCTCTAATTGTAACAAGATAATTGCATACTTATGTTCTAAGCCATATAAATCTCCATGATCAATGGCTTTACTACATGTAGAATTGAAGAATGTGCACAATCTAGTTATAGTTACCCTTACATTTCTTGGTACAATGCCACAGATAGCTACTGGTAGAAGTTGTTGCATCAAGACATGAAAGTCATGAGGTTTTAAGCCAACTAACTCGAGATCATTCATTGACACAAGTTTCTTCACATTTGATGAGTACCCCTGGGGAACTTTGATACCTTGCAAACAATCACCTTTTTTTTTTCTTTTTTTAGACAAAGTGTGACATGCTAGGGGTAAATAGGTTATATTTCATATTTCTTTTGGGGATAACTCTTGTCGTATACCCATCACAACCATATCTTCACAGGATTTTTTAGTATCTTTTGTCTTGCCTTTAATATTGAGAAGTGTTCCAATCAAACTATCACATGCATTTTGTCCACATACATCACATCAAGACAATATCTTACATTAAGACTAACCCATTATTAAAGATCAAATAACACCAACCTCTTTTTCCAAATATTTTTCTCCACAAACCTTTTTTATTTCTTTCCAAATACAACATTAATGTGTTGTTGTCTTTTAGAAACTTCCTTCCTATTTAAGGGCTTTAGAGTGATAATAAACTTCCGTTCTCCATTAAAAGCCTTCTACAATCTACTGTATGGGTGATTAGGTCTTAGAAATTTTGTATGCCCAAGATAAACTGTCTTTTTTTCTTTTTGTAATTGGTTGTGGCATGTATCAAATTCACATATAAGACACACTTTATGCCCTTTGACATTGTACCCATAAAAATTATTGTATGCATGAAAGTCATTAATTATGCAAGATAATATGGCACACAACTTAAAATTATCACATGTATACACATTATCAACATCAACTCCTTCCTCCCACAAAAGTCTTAAATCTTCAATCAATGGCGCTAAATAAACATCTATGTCATCCCTGATTGTCTTGAACCCTAAATTATCATTGATAACATCATATATTTACGCTTCATGCAAAACCATGAAGATAAATTGTAAATTATGTGAAGAAAATTCCATGACATATGGTTAGTACTCAAATTACCAAAAGGGATAATTCTGTCGGTGGCAAGTCCAAGCCTAAGATTCCTAGGTTCAAGAGCAAAATATGGAAACAATGAATCAATTTTATTCTTTTGTAATGAATCAGCTACATGGCTAATTTTTCCATCACACAATATTTCATCTGCCTGCCATCTAGTATTATTTGCCTCATTAACATTAGCGAAAAATCTCTTGAACCTTTTAATTATCGGTAGGTATTACATCACCTTGGAAGGAACACCTTTATAGTTAGACCATCATCATCATCATCATCAACACCATTGCCCTTCTTCTTGTAGCATGGATCCCCACACCTCTGACACTCCTTCAAGTTTTCATACTCTTTCCTATATGATATGAAATCATTATGACATGCATGTATTTTTACATGGTTCAAACCCATTAGACACAATATCTTCTTGACCTCATAACTACGGTTCAACAACATGTTACCTTTTGGACGCATTTCTTTCAATAATTCAAGCAATTCAGTGAAACTTCTATTCGCCCATCCACCTCTTGCCTTAAGATTAAATAGTATTAACACAACTGAAAATATTGTAAAACTCTTACATCCCGAATACATGACTCTTCCATGTCTCTTTACAAAGCATCTACCACATTAGCTTTCTTGAAAGCATATACTCCTATATCAAAAATCACGTCTTCTAGTGTATCATTCATAAATTTATCATCTTCAATTGTATCTGACAAAGGTGTTTTTTTTGTCACTTTACCATGCCATGCCCATTTCGTGTCATTTTGAACAATTTCATCACAACCTAAATGATTGGATACATCTTTCTTTGGATGTTTTTGAATATTTCAACAAATTTTATAAGCATACCAAAAAATCCTATTATTTTTAGGAAGGTTTTTTTCCTGCGAAATCAAGAAATTGTATAACTTCATTCTCATACTCTTTACTTAATCTATTGGCTTTCATTCAACTATGAACCATAATCACATAAAGCTTCTGAAAAAAAAAAAATAGTATACAACTGTGATACGGTGGGAAGAGAACTGACTGTTTTTGGAATGCTGGTTTGCGTTTTGTGTTTGTATTCACAAAATGTCGCGGTAAGCAAGAGTCGCCACCGTCTTTTATTTTATCCAACAAGGAAAGGAAAAAAGCACAGAAAAATTCCTTTTTCGAGATGTTTCTCGGGTCCGGGGGGTAGATTATAGAAAGGGAAGGTGTTAGCACCATTTCTATCCGTGGTTATCCACGGGCTCTTAGGTACTTGCTCATAGTGTTTTCAAAATTACTTTTCTTTGTGTTTGTGGGTTTGAAAAAGTCTTTGTTTGAAAAGGAGTGTAAGTGTGAAAATTTGTTTTGTTTTGAAAGAGCAAGTACTTAAGAACCATCCACCTACTCGAAAAAAGGAATTAACCTGTGCAAATGTCCTTTAGACAACTCTATCCCACTATTGATGAGTAGGTAGCATCGTCGTTGGAGTTTAAGGGTCAATTCGATTAAGGGACGTGTGGTCACTAAAGCAATGTTAGGATGCCTTAGCCGTAACCCTAATGTCTTAGATCATTTTTCCGAGGCAACCGTTTCGAGGCAACTATGATCTTTGGACAAGAGGACGACCTCTAAAACTTCCTATACTCAATGACCACGTTCGAAGGAAACCAAGTGAGGTGTACCCTAAGAGTGCGCATGTGCGAGTGTGTTGTTTTAGTTAATTTTATCTTTGTACATGTCATGGGTGAGCTATGTTGATTTTAAGTTCATACATTTGATCTTGTCATGCATTC